GGGACGAAAAATGTGGTTTTCAGCGGTGCGTGGCCCAGATCAAATTCAATCCAGATTGGCATAACTTGTGCACGCAGCGAAATCGTGACCGGCCCAAATCTTAGCCTCTACCAGGCTTGAGGAGGCGACTGGAAAGAGTAGAAATCGGCCAAAATAGAGAGATAAGCATGCCAAGGGAGTTTGGCCGTTGAGAGAACAGTTCGCCGCCCCACGGCGAACTGTAAACGGCCAAACTCCCTTGGCATGCTTATCTCTCTATTTTGGCCGATTTCTACTCTTTCCAGCCGCCTCCTCAAGCCTGGTAGAGGCTACCCAAATCTAACACATATGGGGACTCATCCCCGATAACGTAACGCACTCTGATTGGCTGAGATGACATGGCCTCACAAACAAACAAATACGGACAGTGGGAATCATTCATTCCATCCAGATCACACAAAAGCTCGCTCGTCCCTGCTCGCTCGTCTGATCTGGATACTTCTTCTCAAAATCCCCCCCCCACTCCCTCTCTAAAATATCACTCAATATCTGTTCTGTTGCAAAGTTACGTATCCCTTGGTACAGTTTCATTTGGCTGTACTGATACGCCTTAATCATACTTCCTTACCTCTGAGAGCTTTGATCGCAACTGATGGTGCAGATGACTTTTATTCCTGCACTGTCGCGTCTATTTCGTATCTGATGGTACAGTTTAACGATAGCTGTACCGATACGTTCCCAATCTATTTTCTATGTGAACATTGATCGCAACTGATGGTGCAGATGACTTTTATTCCTGCACTGTTGCGCCTATTTCGTATCTGATGGTACAGTTTAACTATAGCTGTGCACAACTTCGTATCCATGTAATTGGCAAATGTAACGGGGGGTGCCCTAATTCCGACCCATCCCTAATACCGAACTAGTTTGAAAAATCCTTGTTGCGGCGTTATGCATGGGAGCACGTACCTAAAAATAACCACAAGAATGGACAAAGTTTTTGTGTTGATATCGGTAATCTCACAAAGTTTGTTTTAGTTCGTACACTCCGACAACAGACGAGTGAAAAATCTGTGTGAATTCGACGCTTGTTCGCGGGTTGACGAGCGTGTCAAAAATGTAGGTTTTGCTTTTCAAACAGCCACTTTGGAGCAAGTCGCGTAATCGTAAAAAGAGGACTTGTTTGGGACAGAAAACAGTTGTAGATTGTTTTAGTCATAATCTGTGTATTATAATTTCTAAACTCTCTTCTCAGATCGACCTGTGTTAAACACTAGGTCGGAATTAGGGCACCCCTGTTGCGATAGAACGTTCCACCGGCAAAATGACCAAAAAACTGCCGTGCGTTTCGTGAACCATTACGCTTGGGTGCAAGGCGCTACACTCAAGTGAAATACACAGCTGTGCAGCTTTAATCGTTGTGATCTTTATTTGTCAATATTATATCTCATGTTGCGCGGGTTTTTGGTCAGATAAAGTATTACCAAAGGTCTGTGCGTTTGCATGGAACATAGGTCGGAATTAGGGCACCCCCCGTTAGCTGTTGAAATTATGACTTCTCTGCCCATCCAGCTGTTTAATACATCTGGATAGAAGATAGTGGTATGACCATTTAACAAGAAGATGTTAATCTTAATCTCAGTCTCTACATGTACGATCTCACTTTACGAGACAAGCGCATCATACGTTATCATGTATCGCAGCAAAGTAATCTACTATATACTTTTACTAGCCAATATATCAAAAGTTACAAAAGATTGAAATCACGGTCCGTAAGCTTCATGCATTTTTATTACAGAGAAACCATTAACGTCAGATAAAGTACAATCCAGTACCATTTATGAGGGCCAAGTATTTAACAAAATAGATTTCCAAGAACAACTTACATATTAGCGGTAATACAGGATCGATTTTCTATAAGGGAATTCATTAGACATAAGAGCTATATCAGAAGACCGTGGATTGTTGAACTCCACGGCCGTGCTCTTCATCACTATAATGATGAACTCCACGGCCGTGGAGTTCATCGATATGGTGATGAAATCAACGGCGATTCCGACACTAATAGCGGCGATTGGCCGTGGAGTTCATCGATATGGTGATGAAATCAACGGCGATTCCGTCACTAATAGCGGCGATTGGCCGTTGAGTTCATCGATATGGTGATGAAATCAACGGCGATTCCGACACTAATAGCGGCGATTGGCCGTTGAGTTCATCGATTTGGTGATGAAATCAACGGCATTTCCGACACTATATAGCGGCGATTGGCCGTTGAGTTCATCGATATGGTGATGAAATCAACGGCATTTCCGACACTAATATAGTTCATTAATCCATACTGCATTTGTCTACACTCCAAGCAGAGGTAGGGTCGCACGGTATTTTGGGAGTATTTTCGCGTTTTTAATACGTCTTTCTACTTTTATGGGTTTTTTTTGGTCGGAGGAGTAATATTTGCCACTTTGTACGACTTTTTCCTGCGCGGGTGTCATCTAGCCTGGTTACCAAACCTACTTTCTTACTGTTCGCTGTTCTTTTTTCAGGTAATTTTACAAGTGTTGGCAATCGTTCGCGTTGAAGAATGCGTTATCAAGGTTACATATGTTATTGTTACTAACGACCCTTTACTAACACTTCTCACGCATTTCTAACTGTCCTCACGCGTTTGTTTACGTTTTGAACCGAGACATAATGATAATCTTTGTTTCAGATGCGTTCGTGTTGAAATATGCCATGCTTTATCAAGCCGTTTTGGTTATTGTTAAACGAGCGGTCTTTACTAACAATTTATGTTTTGTTAATGTTTTGAAGCGTTTTGTTTTCAACCGAGGCATTTATATCTTGGACGATTGCATTACTTAACTAACACGATCAAACTACCGTTACTAACTGACTTGCATCAACCTACTCAGTTCAGACAACATCCATTCAAAAAATACAAGTCATTCATCAACCAACTCAGACTAAACTGTATTTTATTTACAGTGCAGACACAGAGCATTAGATATGGAGCGTTCAAAAAGTAAAAGTTATTCATCAACCAAGTCACAACAATTGAAATTTCATAAAAAAATTCGAAATACTTTACAAGTGCGATTACAATACATCAAAACTGAAAATACAAAATGTACAGTCCGTCTAGATTTTTTTATATATCCTCTTCCTTGAAACTCACCAAATATTAATAATGAGGCTAACAAATGATAACTAATGATAATAAACTATTGCAAACTTAGATAAAACAAACACCAAATATTATTCATGAAACAAATCTCAGCTAATGCAATAGTATAGCGACAAAATATAAAAGTACATGAAAGTAATGTATGCTAGAACTTAAATTTTACGCAACGGGAATGAAAAAATAAAGAGCAAACAAAGAGCAAATTATATGCATTACGCCAGTTCATTGGTATGTCGACGGTGTGTACGGCATTTTTGGGTTTCGAATCCTTTGGTTGCGTGGTCGCTTTGGTGTGCACGTGGTTGTCATGAAGTCAGCTTGTCGCTTTTTCCCCCTCCTAGCATGAATGTCCTCATTGACCTGAGGTTGACGCTGCATCTCCAAGGTGCGATTGCCCAGCTCTCTCTGTGGTTGTCGCGACCTCCCGGTGGGGGTGACAGGTAGCCCGTCTGACCCGGCAGGGCTTGAGGTGGGGGAGTCAGGTAGCCCGCCTGACCCGGCAGGGCTAGAGGTGTCGAGCGGGGAGTCAGGTAGCCCGGCAGGACTAAAGGTGTCGAGTGAGGAGTCAGGTAGCCCGCCTGACCCGGCAGGGCTAGAGGTGTCGAGCGGGTCTTCACTCCCTGGGCTGTCCAGGCCTCGGCTTCTGTCTGGGCTGTCGGGCCGATGGAGTCGCTTGGGCTGTCCATCGCGGTAGAATGAGTCAGGTTCAAATCCTGACTCAACGATGGCGGCCCTCACCACACACTGCAATGTGAATTGCCACTCCTCTGCAAAAGGAAACATTACAAAGAACGTTTAGAATTTTACCTACAAAAAAGGGATGTGTTAAGAGCCAACCGTGGTCTGAGGATTGAAAAGATCAAATGCCATTTTTCAGCTCGAACAGAACAGAACAGATCAGAGCCTTTGGACATACATGAGCCTGCGTATATGAACAACAAACATATATTTGTCATATAGATAACTTGATATTTGTAAAGCGATAACTCAAGAATCGAGAGTTATCAGTAGTCATAAATTGAATATAGAAACAGGCAGATGCCAGGCATATATATATATATATATATATATATATATATATATACAATGTAATTGTAACACCAACACTATATCAAGACTTATGCTAGCCCTTGCAGATATAGATTTTAGTAATAAGGATGTTAAGTTAAGTTACATCATAAACATTTCCTGTACTATATTACAGTATAATACTTTGTTTCTTTTACCATACATACGTACCGCGAATCGTCTAGAAACCTGCACAATTGATTATCTACACGTACTAGTAAACTTTGTTATTCAGAATACCGGAAACACCCACCTTTCGAGTATCCAGATCCCTCTGGCTTTTTGAATACCCCGCTCTTCGGGTCTATCGTTGACCAGGGGTATCGGTCCTCCGGCCACCAGGACGGCTGCATCCCGGGCTTCCCCCATCCAGGCTGGCCACGTCCGGTAAGCAGCTTGGTGTAGCACGGAATCAGCTGCCGCATCTTCTCGTTTGTCAGCTGGGACCATCGCACCTCCGGAAGCGGCAGGATGACCGTGTTGTTCGGCACGGCCGTAGAAGATTCTAGGTAAGGCAAGTAATAAGACAATTTATTTACAACGGAGGTTTACGCAGTTTTTTCCCTGTAGTTTTCTCAGCGCGACAGCTAAAACCTTGAGGGTTGGTACATAATGAGGATAATTGAGGCGTCATAATTTTTGAGCTAGAATAAATATTCAAATTCTATGGCTGCCAGACGATGCAATTTGGGATTGAAGGTCAGTAAAGGTATTAGGAGTGGTGCTATGGGATTTCCTTACATTAAACGCTGAATTCAGTTAGTACACTATGATCACGCAAACTGCAAAATAGATACTAGTAATCTCCAAGCACCGTACACTCGAATAAAATGTTCCGAATACATGTATTACCAGATCAATAATTTTGCAGTCTTACCTTCCGAAGTTGCACTTCGCTTCTCTTCAGCCTCACAGAAAACTTCTGTGAACTCCCGTAGGTGGTCACTTACGAAGGCCTTAAAAATACCAGTACTGTCGTGGACAATGAGTCCGCCGTTCGGAGTCATGCTAACGGCGAAGGACGGGCAGCCTCCATCAGTGGCCTGATCAACGAGCTTATCAAGCCCTTTACAAACTTTTTCTCTGTAGAAACGGCAGAAGTTAGGGTTGGACTTGGCCATATCTGTCACAAACTGTCTCACGGCACTGCTAAATCGCAAGTGATACTACCCTTGTGCTTCAAGTCAGTTTATAACCAAGCGCTCACCATTGTTATTATAATTATAATTGTCTGCTAAGTATCCTGGCAGCTCATTTTGCGCATGCTCGGTGGCAACACGCTGTCTAAAACACAAGATACTGTATTACACAGTTTGTACAAACAAACAAACGTAACCAAATCCCCACTACAGTTAAGTTTACAAAGTTTGAAAATGTTTTAAATCTTGATTTGATACCGGTCACTTTATTATAGCGGATTTAGCGGTAACTATTCTACCGCTAAAATTTCACTTCCGGTATTTTT